GAGATGTGCAGGAGGCAGCTGATTGATGTTTCTCGCTCATCGATGTTTCTAACTCTCTATCTCTCTCCCTTCCTCTCTCTGTAAAAAATCAATAAAATATTTTTTTAAAAAAAATTAGGGTTGGCACGCAGAAGAATTTTGAGTCAGAGATTTTGCTGGTTTTGGCACGCGCTCACAAAAAGGTTGCCCACCCCTGGCCTAGGAGATGCCTGGTCGGAATTTACCTCTGGTGCTCTCTCTGGGGGCTCACGTTGGTGACACGGTGCCCGCCATGGGAGCAGCTGGGCCTCCAAGAGGAGTTCTCAGGAGCCATTTAGCTTGAGGTGTCAGCCGCTCAAGAGACAAGTTCCTGTCCATCTGCTCTTTTATTTTTTAAATGTTGTTATTGATTTCAGAGAGGAATGGGGAGTGAGAGACAGGGACATCAATGATGAGAGAGAGTCATGGATCAATCGGCTGCCTCCTGCACGCACCCCACTGGGGATCGAGCCCGCAACCGGGCATGTGTCCCCGACCGTAATCTACCCTGGAACCCCTTCGGTCTGCAGCCGACGCTCTGTCCCCTGAGCCACACCGAGAGCTGCTCTTTTTCTTTGTTTCCTTTTCTTTGGACGTGGGAAAGGTGCCACCACTTACCTGACAAGGTTCTGACGTATTTGCACAAACCCCCTGAGCCATCTGTGGGTGGGCTGCGCTTGAGCATGGCCACCTCCTTCGGGGCACCCTGGGACTGTCCTGACGAGGCAACGCCCCTGCAGCCTGGGAGCTCTCCCTGACCCGGACTCCTCTCCCCAGCCCTGGAGCCCCCACTCTGCCTGTTCTTCCCTTGCTCTGAGCTGCAGGAATACCCACTTGGAGCTGAGGGTAGGACAGTAGGGTAAAAACGGGTTGTGTTCAGGTCAGCCTGTGGAGCGCTGTGCTGAACCCTGATGATACAGATGGGTAAGAGGTGACACTTCTTTCCTGGCATTCGTAATCTAGTAGAGGACATTTACAAGTTAGACGGTGACACCAGTGGAAGAGGAGAAGTATGCACTGCATGGAAAGACCAGGCCCAGAAAGTTCCCTCACCCTGAGCAGCGTGACCTGATGCTTAGAGCTTTGGCCTGTTTGCGGGAGGGTCTTGGGTTCGATTCCCGAACAAGGGCATGTACCTGGGTTGCAAGTTGGATCCCTGGTCCCTGTTGGGGTGCATACAGGAGATAGTCAATGTGTCTCTCTCACATTGATGTTTCTTCCCCCCCCACCTTCGCCCCCTAAAAAGTCAATGGAAAGCCCTGTTGGCATGGCTCAGTGGTTGAGCGTCGACCTCTGAATCAGAAGGTCGCAGTTCGATTCCCGGTCAGGGCACATGCCTGGTTGCAGGCTTGATCCCCAATGTGGGGGGTGCAGGAGACAGCCGATCCATGATTCTCTCTCATCATTGATATTTCTATCTCTCCCTCTTCCTTCCTCTCTGAAATCAATAGAAAAATATTTTTTAAAAAGAAAACATCTTAACAAATCTAGCCTGCTGTATTTGGTCCAACATTTAGTTAACTCGCCCCTAATGCGGTGACATGGCAGACCAAACGATTCTGCAGGTGCCACGGGCCTGGGCGCCGCGGTTCCCCCGCATCGGTTCTGGCTGTGCCTCCAGGCGGCGGGTGTGGTCACTGTCCAGGTGGTCAGTTCTTGAGGTGGTGGCTGGGCAGTGGTGTGAGCAGCGACCTTCCCTTTGCCCCTCGTCTGCTCATCCCTGTCACCCAGCCATGGGCCTTCCCGCCCCGCCGGGGACACTGCAGACCACTTGTCTCGGTGGTGCCTTCCCAGCCAGGAGGGTGGGCTGCTGAAGAGGCTTTGCACTCCCACTCTTGCTTGGCACCTTTGTCGACACTGTTGGGTTAGGACAGTGGTCGGCAAACCGTGGCTCACAAGCCACATGCGGCTCTGTGGCCCCTTGCGTGTGGCTCTTCCACAAAATACTGACTTCTGCGCATGGACCACGAAGTTTCAATCTCACTGTACATGTGCGCCCACATGTGGTATTTTGTGGAAGAGCCACACTCAAGGGGCCAAAGAGCCGCATGTGGCTCGCGAGCCGCGGTTTGCCAACCACTGGGCTAGGGTATGGTGTGGCCCAGAGCACCACAGGTCCGACCCTAAAGGAGGCTTGACTGTGTGGCCTTTTTGGGGATGCTCTTAGGATCTCATTCCACCCCGAGTTCCCCGGCCTCCTGAGCTGGCAGAGTCCTGGGCATCGTACAGAGGCTGCTGCGTGGTGGAGACCAGCCTGGGACTCACGCAGGCCATCCATTCTCAGAGGAGGCGGCTCTGGCCAGCCTCTTGGTGCTGCCCCGTGATTGGGCTCCTGGTGGCCCAGGAGTGGAGCTGGTGGTGTGGTGTGGATGGCTCCTGAACCCTGACTGGTGATTGTGAGATTTGGGGGGGCGGGAAGGAGTGGGAGCCGGGAGTCTCTCTCCCTGGATCACATTCCCCTCCTCTCTCTCCAGTTTGTCCTGAAGAACTACGGAGAGAACCCCGAAGCCTACAACGAGGAGCTGAAGAAGCTGGAGCTGCTCAGACAGGTGGGAGGCCGTGCGTATGTGGTGTGACCAGGACTGTTTGAGGGACGTAAAGAAACACCTGCAGCTGGGTCCTCATTTTATTTTCAGTTTTGCTGTTGTGTGTTCTTATTTAAATGTAGCACTTTCCCACGTAAAAGCAAAACTAATGATAGGAAAATTTGAAAATACTAAACAGCAAAAAAAAAAAAAAAGCAAAAAGAAAACCCATCCTAAAAGTCATTTTGTAATTTTTATATATTTTTTAAAAAAATTTATTTATATATACTATGTATCTATCTATAAATCTATCTATATATATAACAGTCTAATATGATAAGTGTCTGTCTGGTCGCTATAATGCACACCCAACACCAGGGGGCGGATGCTCAATGCAGGAGCTGCCATGACACACACTGGCCATTTACAGAGGGATCAAAGAAAGGAGTGCAAAAATGAAATTGGGAAAAAGAAGGGGGGAAAATAAAAGCGAGAAAAGAAAAGAAAAAAAAGAGTGAAAAGAGAGAGTGAAGTGGAAGAGTGGAAGAGACTTTTTATATGCTGAGAATACTCCTATAGAACCACCACTAGAAACCTATTTTCTTTTCGTTAGCTGAAAATGGAGCTTTAGAAAGCTTAGAAACTTGACCCGACTGAAAAGAAGTAAGAAATGGTGGACCTTGAAAATGACTTCAGGTTTTCTCACTGCACAGAATATAGTCAAACATGGCTGCAGTTAAATATTGTACCCTTTGCTCTCCCTGCGTGATCTACAATAATAAGCTTTGTGTTGATATTTATTGCTTTGTTGCTGACAATTACCTGAAAGAGAAGTTGGAGTGCTTCACTGGGCTGGAAAAAGTTCAGCTACATCAGAAAGCAGGACTAATTAAGCCAGTGTACTCTATATCTGTAAGAGGCTAAGTTGACTCGCACGTGCGTGATACATATAAAGCTCTCGCTGGCGCTAATCGCATGCATGTTTTTCAGTCTGTCATTGTCAATCGTGAACTTGGTTGACACTTACAGAGAAAGGGAGAATAGAATATTAAAATATTTCTTCTGCCCTGGCTGGTTTGGCTCAGTGGATAGAGTGTCAGCCTGCAGACTGAAGGGTCCCGGGTTCAATTCCGGTCAAGGACATATGCCTGGGTTGCGGGCTTGGTCCCCAGTGGGGTCCTGCAGAAGGCAACCAATCAATGATTCTCATCATTGATGTTTCTATCTCTCCCTCTCCCTTCCTCTCTGAAATCAATAAAAATATATTTAAAAAATAAATATTTCTTCTAATTCAGTGGTTCTCAACCCTCCTAATGCCGCACCCTTTTAATACAGTCTCTCATGTTGTGGTGACCCCCAACCATAAAATTATTTTCGTTGCTACTTCATAACTGTAATTTTGCTACTGTTACGAATCGTAATGTAAATATCTGATATGTAGGATGTATTTTCATTGTTACAAATTGAATATAATGAAAGCATAGTGATTAATCATAAAAACCATATGTAATTATATATGTGTTTTCCGATGGTCTTAGGTGACCCCTGTGAAAGGGTCGTTCAACTCCCAAAGGGTTCACGACCCACAGGTTGAGAACCACTGTTCTAATTCATTTCAATGTGCATGAATTCGTGCACTGGGCCACAGGTACTATATAAAACCCGGGAGAATCATATACCACCTATACGCCTGCTTTTTTCACTTCACAACATATTGTGGATATGTTTCTGTATCGGTGAACATACAACAGGACTATTTCAATGGCCTGTGATCATTTTTTAAAAAATGTATTTTATTTGTTTTTTACAGAGAGGAAGGGAGGGATAGAGTTAGAAACATCGATGAGAGAGAAACATTGATCAGCCGCCTCCTGCACACTCGCTACTGGGGATGTGCCCGCAACCAAGGTCCATGCCCTTGACCAGAATCGAACCCGGGACCCTTCAGTCCGCAGGCCGACACTCTATCCACTGAGCCAAACTGGTTAGGGCTGCCTGTGATCATTACATTGAAGTATATTTTAATCAGCCTCTTCTTGGAGAGCACTAGGTAACTTTCGGTTTTTGCCATTTGATGCTCCTCGTCTCGGTAGGGTCGTTCCTGTAGGAATTGGGGGGAGAAAAGGGTGTACTTGTCTCCCTGGCAGCTGTGTGCCTGTTCCTGTTGCTCCTCTTCAGTGCTGGCGGTCTGATAGGTGAAAGGGGATTTACTCTTCATTTATTTGGTTAATAGTAAGGTTTCACAGTTGTTAATGTATTTGTTATGTAGCCTCTTTAAGGACTTGACTGCTGTTGCTCCTTGTCCATTTTTTATGAGAGTGTTATACTTTATTTCTTACTAATTTATAAGACTCATTCATGTATTAATGGTACTGCTTCTTGGTGTTATGTGCTACAAATATTTTTCTCAGGTCATTGTTTTTATTGGGTTTTTAATGCCCACCTTTCAAAGAAATAGGGTTGCCTATATATTTTTGAATTAGTGTTTTGCATTTCTTTGGATAAGTACCCAGAAGTGAAATTGCTTGGTTATATGGTAATGGTAGGTCTATTTTTAAGTTTTTGAGGAACAGCCAAACGGTTTTCCACAGTGACTGCGCCACTTTACAATCCCACCAACAGTGCACGAGGGTTCCCTTTTCCTCGCCAACACTTGTTTTTTGTTTTTTCAACACTTACTGTTTTGCTGATTTATTGCTGATAGCCACTGTGACATGTGTGAGGTGATAGCTCATTGTGGTTTTAATTTGCATTTCCCTGATGATTAGTGATGTTGAGCATCTTTTCATGTGGCTCTAGGACATCTGTGTGTCTTCTTTGGAGAAATGTCTATTCAGATCTTCTGTCTATTTTTTAATCAGATTGTGTTTTCTTCCTGATGTTAAGTTGTATGAGTTCTTTATACTGTATTTTGATATTCACCCTTTATCGGCTGTATCATTGGCGAATATGTCTTCATTTTGTTGATGGTTCCTTCACCCTAAAGGCTCTGTAGTTTGACATAGTCCCATTTGTTTTTCTTTTGTTTTCTTTGCCTGATGAGACGTATCCAAAAAATTGCAGAGGAGGATATCAAAGAGTTTATTGCCTATGTTTTCTTTTAGGAGTTTTATAGCTTCAGGTCTTACATTTAAATCTTTAATTCACTTGAGTTTATTTTTGCATATGGTTTTGGAAAGTGGTCTAGTTTCATTTTTTGCACGTATCTGTTGAGTTTTCCCAACACCAGTTATTGTCTTACCCCATCGTGTATTCTTGTCTCTCTCTTTTTAAAAAAAAATATATTTTATTGATTTTTTTACAGAGAGGAAGGGAGAGGGATAGAGAGTTAGAAACATTGATGAGAGGTAAACATCAATTCAGCTGCCTCCTGCACACTCCCCACTGGGCTGTGCCCGCAACCAAATACATGCCCTTGACCGGAATCGAACCTGGGACCCTTCAGCCCACAGCCGACGCTCTATCCACTGAGCTACGCCAGCCAGAGCGAGGCGTCTGTTTTTATGTCAGTACCAACCTGTTTTGATAACTGACCTTGTAGCAGTTTAGTTTGAGGTCAGGTAGTGTGCTGTCTCCAACTTTGTTCTTTCTCAGGGTTGCTCTGGTTATATTGAGGGTCTTTTGTGGTTCCATATAAATTTTGAGATTATTCCAGTTCTGTTAAAAATGTCATTAATATTTTCATAGGGATTGCATTGAACTATAGATTGCTTTGGGTAGTATGGTCATTTTAACTATGTTAATTCTTCCTTTCATAATAATTTATAGTCTTCCATTTATGTCTTCTTTAGTTTTTCTCTTTAGTGTCTTACAGTTTACTGAATACAGGTCTTTAAGTTTATTCCTAGGTATTTTATTCTTTTTGATGCAGTTGTACATGGGATTGTTGTCTTAATTTTTCTTTCTCATAGTTTGTTGGTGTATAAAATGCAACTGATCTCTGAATCTCCGTTTTGTGCCCTATACTTTACTGAGCTCATTTATTCTAATAGCTTTTTTTGTGTGGAGTCTTTAGGGATCTCTGTAGTATCATGTCTTCTGCAAATAATGTCAGTTTTACCTTGTTCTTTTTCGATTTCGATGCCTTTTCTTTCTTTCTCGTGTTTGATGGTTATGACAGACTTCAGTCCTATGTGGAGTCCTGGAGGAGTTCTAGCCAGTGGGCTGCTTCCCACTGGCCCTCAGTCCTGGGACCTGGGGGGGTCCGGTCCTGGCACACGAGCGAGTCCCATCCCCTGTGTGCACCTGCGTCTCAGAGGGTTTACGTCTGCTCTGCTGTTTGAGCAGAGGGGTCATTTGCTTTGTTTGTTAGTGTGTTTTTTTCTTCTGAAAATAGCAATCTCTTTATTGCCTATTATAAAAATTGAAAATGTTCACTGTAAATACATAAAGAACTAAATATATCTGTGTGTATATCTGTATGTATAGAATAAGATAAAATAAACCCTATTGCTCAGGGATAGTCACTTAACATTTTCATAATAACCGTATAGGTTTTTATTGTTGTCTATGTAATGTAGTTGGATATCAGTGTCTACATGCTGTTACATAAATGATATCATACCCCTCATCTATTACATACTTCCGCCCCAATGATACGTCTGATCTGGAAATCTTAACATATCTTCAGTTTTTCTGTGTGGGTAGCCTTGACATAACTTACATAATTCTCCCCCACCCCCACCCCATCTACCCAAACAGCTGCTTTATATTTTTCTGTTGCAGTTTACATTCAGTATTTTCTATTAGTTCCAGGTATACAGCAGAATGGTTTGATAATCAAACAAAGCGTTCTCATACCCGTCGGACACTGTCCATAGTCATTACAATATTATTGAGGACATTCCTTACGCTGTACTCCCCCCCTCCCCCCCGCGGCCATCAGCCCTGCTCTGTGCCTGCGCGTCTGTTCCGTTTTGTTAAACAGCCTCTTTACTGGGCATGTTGGTGGTGCTCACTGTTTGACCTGTCAGCAGCGCTGTGCCAGCTGTCCCTCGTGCTCACTGAGGCAGCCGCTCTTCAGATTTCTGTCTGTGGGTACAGAACTGTGGGTCACGTTTTGAGTATATTCAGAATTTGGATGCATGTTGTCGACTGCCTTCCCGACGGTGGGCTGACTCTGCCCCACCACTCTGGCCGCGGGACGGTGTGTTGGACGACATGGACGCAGCAGTGGGCTTTCCTGACCCCTGGGTGGGCGTGTCCAGCTCTGAGGCATTTCCTCAGCCCCGAGTGACGGCAGGCCTGCTTCTCCCATCCGCCCCCAGAACGCCGTCCGGGTCCCACGGGACTTTGAGGGCTGCAGCGTCCTCCGCAAGTACTTGGGCCAACTCCACTACCTGCAGAGCCGGGTCCCCATGGGTTCAGGCCAGGAGGCTGCTGTTCCTGTCACCTGGTGAGAGCTGACTGGGAGCGTCTGGGTGCTGGGGGTGCCCCCTTCCTCCCTTTTCCTGTTGCAGAGGGTGGGGAGCAGCTGGATATGGTGTCTCCCAGGGCCTCCCTCCAACCCTGCACGGGGGTGGCTGGGCCCTCACCTGCCCTCAGGATGACCAGGGGCCATATCTGCAGGACCGAGATCTTCTCGGGCAAGTCTGTGGCGCACGAGGACATCCAGTACGAGCAGGCCTGCATCCTCTACAACCTGGGTGAGCTGCCTGCCAGCCCCGCAGCAGGCGACGGGGCAGTGGGCTGGTGCAGGGAAGACCCCTGTATTCGGACCCCTCCCCTGCCGCCCACATCTCTGCCAGCGCCTCCTTTCTGGGCCTCAGGGAGCCACCTGTTGGGGAGAGGCTCTATGGGGCTGCTGCCACGGTGTGGCCGCTGTGGGCTCTGCTGGGATGATGGCCGCCATGGCTCTGACTGGACAGCTCCCAACCCCCCTTTTGAGTTTGGGCTGCTCCAGGCAGAAGGAAAACAAGGTTGGGCTCAGCCGGCTCTGCTATCAACCTGATGACTCAGCCCCAGTTGGGCTCCAGAGAAGCTTCCAGACCGGACTTCTAGGCTAGAGTCTGCGCAGGAACTCTCCTCTGTCCACCTGCACCCCTGCTTGGTGCAGAGCAGGAGCCTGGGGGTCTTGGCCAGACGTCGATGAGTTTCCCCGTTGGCTCAGCTTTGAGATCCATGGACCAGCGGCCCCAGTTCAGACCCATTTTCCTGATCATGAGTGACAGCACTGCGCCCTTTGCCTTCCTGTTAACACAGGTGTGGGGAGCACCCCCAGACCGACCCTGTACCCTCTGCCTCCCCAGGTGCACTGCACTCCATGCTGGGAGCCATGGACAAGCGGGTGTCTGAAGAGGTGAGCAGGGCAGGGCAGTGGACGGGACATGGGATGTGACTGGGGAGGGCTGCTGCGCGTCCTCAGATCCCGAGTTGGGCTGAATCCTGCCCCAGGTCTGGTGCTGCCCTTGGCCACCCTCCTTCTCTCCCACCCAGGGCATGAAGGTCTCCTGTACGCACTTCCAGTGTGCAGCAGGCGCCTTTGCCTACCTGCGGGAGCACTTCCCTCACGCCTACAGCGTCGACATGAGCCGCCAGATCCTCACTCTCAATGTCAACCTCATGCTGGTAAGGAGGTGCCCTGGGGGGAACTGAGTTGAATCCAGGGAGGGGACTTGGAGCTGGACCCTAGACAGGCCCAGCAGAGGGCAGTGCAGGGCCCGGGCTCTGGTCTGACAGCGCCAGGTGGGTCAGGAGCTAGGCTGGGGACTGCAGGAGAGGGTGTGGAGAGCTGTCCCTGTGGTCTGCCTGCTAGAAGGGCAAGGCCTCGGTGGACCAGGGAGTGGACCTGACTGGTTGCCCCAGGGCCAGGCGCAGGAGTGCCTTCTGGAGAAGTCGATGTTGGACAACAGGAAGAGCTTCCTGGTCGCCCGCATCAGCGCCCAGGTAGGGATGGGGGAGATGTGCTCAGGGCTGGCCTTCGGTGTTCTGCCGACGCCCCACTGACCCTTCGGGCCCCCAGGTGGTGGATTACTACAAGGAGGCCTGCCGGGCCTTGGAGAACCCTGACACCGCCTCACTGCTGGGCCGGATCCAGAAGGACTGGAAGAAGCTGGTGCAGATGAAGATCTACTACTTTGCAGCTGTGGCTCATGTGAGGGCACCGTGCCTCTGGCTCTGGGCTGGGCTGAGTTGCCACAGCCTGGGAACTAAGTAGCGATGTCTCTTTCCTCCCAGCTGCACATGGGGAAGCAGGCTGAGGAGCAGCAGAAGTTCGGGGAGCAGGTGAGTGAGTTGTGAGGACAGCACTCAGGACTGGTTCCAGCCTTGTTAGTGAGAAGCCGGTGGATCCCTTCCCTACAGAATAGGGGAGGTGGTCTTCTCTCGGCCCCCCATCTCCTCATCCCTGAACAAGCCCCCGCTGCAGCCTGGGGTGTCCTGTCTGCAGCCCTCATCCTTGGGACCTGAGGAGGCATAGCAGGCTCCCTGCAGAGGGGCTGGCTGGCACCCAGCTATCTGGCCTTCTAGTGGGTCATGTGACGGCCAGGCAGGGCTCATTGGGGGGCAGAAGGAGGAGACTCCAAGCAGGGAAGGACCAGGCTCTCCCCGCTGTCCCCACAGGTCGCGTACTTCCAGAGCGCCCTGGACAAGCTCAGTGAGGCCATCAAGTTGGCCAAGGTAAAGCCAGGAAAGGGCCTGCTGCCCCCGGAGCCCGAGGACAGGGGCAGGCCGGCGGGCGGGTGCTGGCACTGCCTTAGTGGTGCTGAGCCCCTTCCCACCCTGCAGGGCCAGCCTGACACTGTGCAAGATGCCCTTCGCTTTGCTATGGACGTCATTGGAGGAAAGTGAGTCTGTGGGGCGGGGGTGGCCCTGGTCCTTCTCATGAGGAAGGGTCTTGGCCCTCTGCCTGCACCCTTGAGAGGGAGCCACCAGCACCAGAGAGCAGTGGCCCCATAGAGGCCAGCTCCTGGGCCCTGCTGCTCATCCAAGACCCCCCCCCCTTCCCTGGACCCCCAGGTACAATTCTGCCAAGAAGGACAATGACTTCATCTACCACGAGGCTGTCCCGGCCCTGGACACCCTTCAGCCTGTGAAAGGTCTGCCGCTGGGGGAGGCTGGGGTCAGGGAGGAGGGACAGGGGCATAGAGCAGACGTGAGGGCTGCAAGGGCCTGGGCTCCACAACTTCTCTCTCCCAGGTGCCCCCTTGGTGAAGCCCTTGCCAGTGAACCCCACAGACCCAGCTGTCACAGGCCCCGACATCTTCGCCAAGCTGGTCCCGATGGCTGCCCATGAAGCCTCGTCGCTGTACAGGTAGGTGGGAGGGCGGGCCCTGCCCTCGGCACAGGTGGGCGTGGGGCGTCTTGAGAGACAGAGGCTTCCAGCAACTGCTCTGTCGCTTCTGCAGTGAGGAGAAGGCCAAGCTGCTTCGAGAGATAATGGCCAAGATTGAGGACAAGAATGAGGTGCTGGAGTAAGTGTGGGGCTGGGGCTAGGGTATGGGGGTTACACACCAGACCTCGGCGGGTCCCTGGTGCTGCCCGCAAGAGGGAAGGTAGTAGCAGGTGTTCCCCGCTCTGCCCTCCCGACCCAGGTCTTGTTTACTAGACCATCTAAGTGAGAGCCCGAGTCATGGGGGGGGTGTCCATTCTGCCCGTGTTGTCCGCAGTGCGGGGGGCATGCCCTGGGGCCAGGCCAACCTCGGTTGAGGTCCGGGTGCTGGTCTGCCCTCTGCTGGGGCCTCAGACTTGTCTGCAGCTGCGGGGGAGACTCACCCTAGTGCACTCTGTACACGTGAGGACGTGGGTCAGCACCGTCACCCGCCTGGTCCTGGTGTCCCTGCAGCCAGTTCATGGATTCAATGCAGCTGGATCCCGAGACAGTGGACAACCTGGACACGTACAACCACATCCCGCCCCAGCTCATGGAGAAGTGTGCAGCTCTCAGCGTCCGGCCCGACACTGTCCGCAACCTCGTCCAGTCCATGCAAGGTGGGAGGGGGCAGGCAGGTGAGGGTGGGAGGTCATCGCCTGTGGCCTTTTCTGTCCCCTGTTCCCCCAGGATGGAGGGTGCACCTCCCCCAGCACCTGGCACAAATACCGTCCCCCATGCCACACCCTGGGTGTGCTTGCTCGGCAAGCATTGGGCTGCCCACAAGCCTTGACTAAGGGTAGTGCTGTCTCCTGGGGCACAGGCCAGGGTGGGTGCCTGGTCTGCCTGCCTCAGGCTGTCCCCCTCCCCATACACACCCTCAGTGCTGTCAGGTGTGTTCACGGATGTGGAGGCCTCACTGAAGGACATCAGGGACCTGCTGGAGGAGGATGAGCTGCTAGACCAGAAGTTGCAGGAGGCAGTGGGCCAGGCAGGGGCCAGTGTGGCCGGTTCCCAGGCGGAGCTGGCAGAGGTGAGGCGAGAGTGGGCCAGGTACACGGAGGTCCACGAAAAGGCCTCCTTCACGAACAGTGAGCTGCACCGCGCCATGAACCTGCACGTTGGCAACCTCCGCCTGCTCAGTGGGCCTCTGGACCAGGTCCGGGCTGCCCTGCCCACACCAGCCCTCACCCCAGGTGAGCACCCCCCTCCTGTGCCGTGGCTGAGATGGCGGGGGCGTCTCTGGCCTCACTGACCCCTGCTGCCCCCAGAGGACCAGGCCGTGCTGCAGAACCTGAAGCGCATCCTGGCCAAGGTGCAGGAGATGCGGGACCAGCGCGTGTCTCTGGAGCAGCAGCTGCGGGAGCTCATCCAGAAGGATGACATCACCGCCTCGCTGGTCACCACGGACCGCTCCGAGATGAAGGTGCGGGCGCAGGTGGCGGGGCCCTGGCTGTGGGCTCCACCTGAGGTGGCAAAACCTTGAGTGTCTGTTCCCACCCCCAACTCCCTCAGAAGCTGTTTGAGGAGCAGCTGAAGAAGTACGACCAGCTGAGGGTGTACCTGGAGCAGAACCTGGCTGCCCAGGACAACGTCCTCCGCGCGCTGACCGAGGCCAACGTGCAGTATGCGGCCGTGCGCCGGACGCTCAGCGAGCTGGACCAGAAGTCAGTGCCTGGCCTTGCGCTCCTGCCCAGAGCCCCTCCCTGGGCTTGGCTCCCGCCCTCACCTCCCGCCGGCCCCTCTGCCCTCCAGGTGGAACTCCACGCTGCAGACCCTGGTGGCCTCCTACGAAGCCTATGAGGACCTGATGAAGAAGTCCCAGGAGGGCAAGGACTTCTATGCGGACCTCGAGAGCAAGGTGGCCGCTCTGCTGGAGCGGGCCCAGTCCACCTGCCAGGCCCGTGAGGCTGCCCGCCAGCAGCTCCTGGACAGGTAGGTGTGGCCCCGGGACCGCAGGGCGCTGCAGCCCAGACCCGGGTTGGCTGATTGGGCTGGTTCCCCTTCTTCCCTCGTCCCGCAGGGAGCTGAAGAAGAAGCAACCCCCACGGCC